CTCACTCTTTTTGTTATAAAGTTGTCATGCATTTTGACAAATACATAGTGTCATATATTGGCCATGGCAGTATCACATAAGATAGTTTTCCCTATCTTAAAATATATCCCATGCATCACTTATTCAGCCCCCCTCCTTCAAAACTCTGGAGACCATTGGTGTGTTCAACACTGCTAGAGTTTTGCCTTTTCCAGAATATTACAAAAGTTGAATCATGCAGCCTTTTCAGATTGGCTTGTTTCACTTAGCAATATGCATTTACCTGTCATCCATTTTTTTTACATGGCTTCATAGCTCATTACTTTTTATGACTGGATAGTATTCTGTTGTGTAGAGTAATACTTTGATTATCCATCAATGTATTAAAATTCATCTTGATTGATTCCAGTTTGGGGAAATTATGAATGAAGCTGCTATAAACATCCACATGCATGTTTTTGTGTGAACACAGGTTTTTACATCAGCTAGGTAAATACCTGGGAGCAGGATTACTGAATCGTATGTTATGACAATGTTTAAGCTTCATTAAAAATCGTCAAACTCTCTTCCAACGTGGTTGCACTCTTTTGCATTCCCACCATCAACAAATGAAGTCTGTTGTTGCTCTTCACCCTTGCCAGCCATTGGTATCATCAAGCAGAGAAGGAGGGGAGGGTTAGCCACTCTAACATGTATGTATTGGTGTCTCATTGTTGTGAAAATATGCATTTCTCTAATGGAAAATGATGTTGAGCGTCATTTCAAATGTTTACCCGTCATCTGTACATCTTGTTTGGTGAGATGTCTATTCAGATCTTTTGCTTATTTTTCAATTGGGTTGTTTGTTTTCTTATTGTTAGATTTTAAGAGTTCTTTGTATATTTTGGATACAAGTCTTTCATCAGATATAAGTTTTGCCAACATTTTCTATCAGTCTATGACTTGGCTTTTCATTCTCTTAGGTTTGTTTTGTTTTTGTTTTTGTTTTTGTTTTTGCATGCAGAAGATTTTAATTTTAGTAAAGTCCACTTTATCAATTTTTTTCTTTCATAGATTGTGCTTTTTGTGTTGTATCTAAAAACTCACTGCCAAACCAGGATCATATAGATTTCCTCTGTGTTTTCTTCTGGAAGTGTTACAGTTTTACATTTTACCCTTAAGTATATGGTTTATTTTGAGTTAAATTTTTAAAAAGTGTAAGGTCTAGGTCTAGTTCTCTTATTTATATATGGGAACTTAATTATTCCAGCATAATTAGCTGAAAACATTACCCTTTCTCTAGTGAAAGTGACTTTACTCCTTTGTCAAAGGTCAGTTGAGTATGTTTGCAAAGGTCTATTTATGGGCTTTTCATTTTATTCCATTGATCTATGTACCTGTTCTTTCACTAATACTGCACTGTCCTGATTAATGTGCCTTTACAGTAAGTCTTTAAATCGAATACTAAGAACCCTTTAATTTTATTTTTCTTCAGACCGCATTGTCTATTCTTGGTCTTTTGCTTTTCAGTATAAAATTAGAGTCATTTTGTTGATATATAAAAATAATGTGGTAGAATTTTTACTGGAATTGCATTGAACGTGTAAAACAAATTGAGAAGAATTGAGATCTTAACAATATTAAGTGTTCTGGTTCATGGAATATCTTCACATTTATTTAAAATTTCTTTACCTCTTCCATCACTGTTTTGCCTTTTTCTCTCTTTTAGGGAGAAAGCATCTCACCATTAAGTATGATGTTAGCTGTAGGTTATTGTACACGTCTTTTTCAAACTGAGAAAATTTCACTCTATTTGTATGTTGCTGAGAGTTTTCATCATGAATGCATGTTGGATTCTGTCAAAGGCTTTTTCAGCAGCAATTGATATAATCGTACAGTTTTTCTTCTTTAGCCTATTGATATGGTGGATTACATGGTTGATTTTCAAATGTTGAACCAAACTTTTATATCCAAAATAAATTTTGCTTGGTCATAGTATATAATTGTTTTATACATTGTTGAATTCAATTTGCTAATTCTTTTTTTTTTTGAAACAGAGTCTCATTCTGCTGCCCTGGGTAGAATGCAGTGGCATCATTATAGCTTCTGCAACCTCAAACTCCTGGGCTCAAACAATCCTCCTGCCTCATCCTCCTGAGTAGCTGGGACTACAGATGCGGGGCACAATGCCCAGCTAATTTTTCTGTTTTTAGTAGAGACGGGGTCTCACTCTTGCTCAGGCTGGTCTCGAACTCCTGAGTTCAAGCAATCCTCCCACCTTGGCCTCCCAGAGTGCTAGTATTACAGGTGTGAGCCACCATGCCCAGCCTATAACTTGCTGATATTTTATTGAGGATGTTTGTGTCTATGTTTCTGAGAGATATTGGTCTATTTTCTTGGTGAACCCAGCTAGAGATTTATCAAGGTTTTAAAAAAATCTTTTCAAAGAATCAACTTCTGGCTATATAGATTTTCTCTATTACTTTTCTGTTTTCAGTTTCATTGATTTCAGCTCTAATTTTATAATATCTTTTCTTCTGCTTGCTTTAAGCCTAAATTTCTCCTCTTTCTCTAGTTTTCTCAGGTGGAGACTAAGGTTTAAATATATTCTTCTTCTATAAATATTTAAAGCCATACATGTCCCTCTAAGCACCCCTGTTGTTGTATCCCACAAACTTTGATAAGCACTGTTTTCATTTTTCTTTAGTTTAAAGTATTTTTAAATTTCTCTTGATACTACTTTTTGGATCCGTGAGCTATTTAGATGTATGCTTTCAAAATTTCTATAGATTTAGATATTACCAGGTATCTTTCTGTTATTAATTTATAGTTCCATTGTAGTCTGGGAACATACTTTATGTAATCTTTCTATTCTATTAGCTTTGTTGAGCAGGGCTATGACCCAGAATGTGGTCTATCTTGGTGAATGTTCCATGTGAGCTTGAGAATGTGCATTCTGCTATATTTTGGAGGAAGTCTCATGTAAACATCAATTAGATTCAGTCATTGATAAGACTGTTTAGGTGAGCTTCATCCTTCCTTATTTTCTGCCTGCTTGAATTATAGAAAGAGGAGAGTTGAATTTTCTAACTATAATAGTGAATTTGTCTATTTCTCTGCAGTTCTTGTTCAGTGCATGCAGGTTTAAGACTGTCATGTCTTCTTGGAAAATTGACACCTTTTTTGTTATGTAATCTCCCTCATCATCACAAATCATTTTCTTTGTCCTAAGACGTGCATTTTCTGCAATTAATATAGCTACTCCAACTTCCTTTTGATTCATGTGGCATGATATAGTCTCCTTCCCTTTATGTTTAACCTGAGCCTTTTTATTTAAAGTCAGTTGGGTCTTGCTTTTTTTAAAATCCATTCTAGAAATCAATCTGTCTTGTAATTTGGTATATTTAGGCTGTTTACATTTAAAGTAATTAATAGATACAGTTGTATTAATAGTATATTTGTACCTGTTTTCTATATTTTGCATTTGTTCTTTGTTTCTACCAACCCCCTTTTCTGTCTTCCTTCCCCTGCCCTTTGGACATTGGTGCTCCTGGTTCTCAGGCCTTTGGACCACTAGATTTCCTGGTTCTACAGCTTTCAGGTGACAGGTCATGGGACTCTCTGGCCTCCATAATAGCAAGCTATCTATTCATACATATACAATATAATCACCTAATACAATACTAATACTATCACCTCATTTTGCATCAATGTGATACTTATGTTCTTGCACTGTGTCCTTCATATCTCCTTCTGGAGACGGAGGCATATAAAACAAAAATTGGACCATGAAATTTACCTACCTAGTACCCATAAATGACTTCAGGAAACTCTAACACCTGGTACACCCCTGTGTGTTTGCCTTACACGTTAAGTCTTCCGAGATCAGAGACCTTGACTTTCATGTTCAATGTGATATCTCTATAGTGCCTGTCAGAAGAACTGGCATTTTACTAGTGCTCAATGATTATTTTGTGATTCATGAGTGAATCTATTAAATGAGAAAACCTTGTTACCAATCATGTTGTTATTATCTATTTACAACCATCATTATCTATCTGCCCCCACAAGACTGTAATCTCCACAAATATAGGAACAATATATTTTTATAGCTAAGTCACAATGTCATGCACAGTGTCTGACATGACTCCATAAATATCTGTTGAACTGAATTGATACTGAAATAGAAATATTAACAAATGCATATATGCAAACAAGTTTCTTACAAGCATAAATCCTTTTCATTATTACTTGGTGCCCTAGTATTACATTAGTACATTAATATATCATTAATATTATTTTAATTGGCTGAGTTGTCCTCATGGAACAGAAGAGCCTGACATATCTGTCGCCAGTTGGAAGCGTGATCTAGGAGCTGAAAGTAGGCATGACTCATAACAGTTTTTCACATTTGTCTATTGTTTGTAATTTTGTAGATAGTTTCACGCATATTATCCCATGAAGCCCCTAAGAAGCCATTTGCTTCCTCTCTCCCATAAGCATGCTTTATTTGCTGATATACTTCTTTTCCTCTCTCTGTTCCTACCTCTATTGCCAAATGGAAAAACAACAGGGATAAAACAAATCGAGCCCGCATGATAGTTTCAAGATTTCAAAGCAACCAGGGAATTCTTATTACACCACATGAGAATTATTAGCCCTATGTAAGCTATAGTTCCCACCATTAGAAACGATGTGCATAATTATTGTACGATTTTAATGTGTTTAAATTTGACATTAAAAATGGATTATAGAATTTCAATGAAAAGTTATGGACTCTTGATAAGAATATCACATGGTATTTGATATTTTCTGCAGGGCTTATACACTTCTTGGTTCTCTAGAGAATGAAAGGCATCATACGTTATCAAATTCAACAATCCATGATAAATATGCACCTACAAAGCTAGTATTAAAATATATTTTATGGCAATTTTTAAAAATAATGACCTAGAAAAAACAATTACTCTTTGAGTTGCTCGAGAAAGTTCTATGCTCCTCGAAATGAACAAGTTGGTTCTAAAGAACACTATGAATTTTGCCTTTAAATTTATTAACTCGATAGTCACTGTTAGTCCAAAGTTTCTCGAAGGCTGAAGATTGTGCTTGTCTGGATGGCAGGGTCATCTCATGGTATCTTATATCCAGTTAAACTTAAGCTGAATTAATCGCCTTCTTTCTGAAAAACAAGCAAGAAAGGGGCTTTTCACTGTCTATAACCATGACGCATATCAATGGTGCTATGGAGTTGGAAATAGTGAATACTGATAATAGTCAAGAATAACCCAAAAATTAAGGGGAGATTTCAAAAGGTAACTAATCCTATGGTCAATATCCTTCTAATATGTTAACCTGAACAGAAGGGGAAAAAATAACTTGAGCAAACCCTAGAGATGATTGCAAATGAGGAGATTACATACTCAAGACTAGAAAGTTAAAAACAGAGAAATTGCAGATGGATCTTGAGAGTTTAAGATATAAAAGAAAATCAAGTGAATAAGATTTAATTTAGATAGACAAAGTGCCTTTATACAGGGAATAATGCCAACGGGATTTATAAATCAAGTGAATACCAATTAGAAGCCAAAATAGAAGACAAGAACCACAGACAAGTAGAGTTTTAATGTCAAAGGATATAACTAGAGATTTATATTTGGGACACATTTCCCTATTTTTGAATAACAAAGTAGACAATTCTTGAAGCAGGTTTTTATTCTTTATATAAAAAGTGAAACATTCGCATTTGAAATAGGGAATATGCGAAGGAGATATACTCACTCAGGACCCAGACTAAGCCAGTTTAGTTAATAAACATGCACGAGTGGCTTATCATATGGGGGACATTGGGCTAGATGAGAGGGGCTAAAAATTGAATCAAATATGTTTACCACCCCGTCTCTACTATAAATAGAAAGAAATTAATTGGCCAACTGATATATATATAAAAAAAAAAATTAGCCGGGCATGGTGGCGCATGCCTGTAGTCCCAGCTACTCGGGAGGCTGAGGCAGAAGGATCACTCAAGCCCAGGAGTTTGAGGTTGCTGTGAGCTAGGCTGACGCCACGGCACTCACTCTAGCCTGGACAACAAAGTGAGACTCTGTCTCAAAAAAAAAAACAAAAAAAAAAAACAAATATGTTTACCATTCTTGATGAGTTTATAGTCTACTCAGAGAAGATGATAATCAGATTATATTATCGTAAATATTAAGTAAATTATATATGCTAAGTGACAACAGAGTTCAGAGGAGGTGACAAAGACAGGGCAATAGTGATTATAAATGTTGGATTGATCTACCTGGGTCAAATGCACTTCCTTAACATTTTCAAAGGGACTCATGATGCCAGGCTTTGTGGAAAAAAAGATTTGTTTAAAGGAACTAAAAACAGACAAGTGTAGCTAGGAATATGCAACAGATTTTACAAGTTGTTTTCTCTTGTGTTAGCACAAGGTCTGTTGTAAATCGTTAGGCACATATCAGTATGCAGTCACAGTTGAAGGAAATTCCTGAGTTGCTCTCTTCAAATGTCAGTTTGGGACTTCTCCACGTGATGGGGTACCTAGGACCAGATTTGCTCTCAACCTAAAACAACTGAAAAATGGGATAAATACATGAAATGATAGTTTTCAGGGCACTGGGCACCAGGCAGTGATGGGCAGCGATTTATGAGAGACTGGAAACACGTACACCGAGTCCTGTAGCTGCTCCCTGACTATTCTGGTAGAGTTTCCTGGTGCAGCACGATGCATGGGAGGAGCCTTGTGGTCTCTCTGAGTTGCGGAGAACACTCTGGGCATATTCACTGTTGACAGTGCTCTTCCCATGGATCAGGGATTGTCACCACAAAACCTGGCGAGGTTCCTGGGACTGTAAGGTCAGAGGAAAGCCCAACACTGCAGCCCTAAGCAGTGGCTCCCTCTCAAGTGAATTCACACTCAATCTCTAGCATGTGTCAAATTATCATTTTTTTTTCGACTAGATAGGAGTTTATTTTTCTGTTATGTTATAGAAGTCCTATAGGTAGGATTCCAGGGCTGGTGTGTTAACTCCAGTCATCAGGAACCCATCTCTCTTACTGCTTTGTTCTCGTGGATGCATTGCTTCATGGTCTAAGATGGTTGCTTGACCTCTGATTACAGCTTCAGTGGCTTCTGCTCCAGGTAAGCAGAGCTCAGCTGTGATACTCTGGATTCACAGGTCATCCCAGATTTCAGGGTGGAAATTTGCCCTGATGCCCTGAGACCTCAGTTCTCTAATGGGTCCAAAACATCCTTGACTTTCAGTTTGTTCAGGTTTTTTGTTTTTTAGGGGTTTTTTTGGTATAAAGGTGGGAGTTAACAACTTCCAAGCTCTCTAATTGTAAGAGCTGAAACCAGAAGTCAGAAGTGGACATTTTTAAAACATAATTTAAAAAGTAATCCACAAATATGAACTACCTGAGGATAAATCTGAAAAAGGATATGCAACGCACGTGTAATAAAGAAATCTGAAGCTTTGCTATGAAAAAAAAAGAACACCAAAATTTGAAAGAGAATATACCATATTCATATGTCAGAAGACTCAATATTGCTTAGATTTTACTTCTCAGAAAATGATCCATAAATTCAATACAATCCCAATACAAATCCCAAACAGTGGTTTTGGGTAGAAATTGACAAGCTAAGTCTAAAATTCCTACGAAAATGGAAATGCAAATGACTTCAAATAGTTAAGACAACTTTGAAAATGAATTGAGTTAGAGGGATAATACCACTTAATTTCAAGACTTATTTAAAGGTACAATAATGAAGATATTGTGGTATTGGTGCTAAGAAGGACTTAACTAGATCATGGAACAGAGAATGAATTCCTGAACACGGCCCAGAAATTGACTCACTCTTACAGAGACAACTGATTTTTTACAACTGTGTAAAAAGTGTTTCAACAAATGATTGGAACATTTGGATATCCACATGCCAAAGAAAGAAAGAAAGAACGAACTTGTACCATATATGAACATTCACTCAAAAGGGACACAGACCTAAATGTAAAAGCAAAAAATAAAACCTTTAGGAGAAATATTTTTTGACATCGTGTTAAGCTAAGATGTCTTAGATAAGACACCAAAACCTCAATCAAAGAAAAAGCTCAATAATTTGAGCTCAATAATTTGATTCTTTCCTATTTAAAACTGATGCTCTTTCAAAGGCACTGTTAAGAGAATAAAAAGAAACCACAGATTGGAAGAAAATATTTGAAAATCTTACATATCTGATAAAGGATTTGTATGTGGTATATGTAAAGAATTCTCAAACACAACGATATGGAGACAAACTCTCCAATAAATAATAGACCAAAAATTTGAACAGATATTTCCTCAAAGAAAATATGTGCATGGCAAATAAGCATATGAACGTATGTACAATGTCATTAGCCATTAAAAATGGAATTTTAAAATACAGTGATATGCTTCTGCATACTAATAGAATGGCCAAAACTAAAAAGCCATCTGACCGTTGCAAGATTTAACAATCTTGCGGAGGGCTGGAATTCTCATGAGTCCAGGTAGGGAAATAACATCGTTCAACCACCATAGGAAAGACTTTGGCAGTTTCTTAAAAAGATAAACATGTACCTGTCATAAATTCAGACATTCCAATTCTAGGTATTTACCCAAGATAAATCAAAATATATGCCTGCACAAATACTTGTACATAAATGTTCATAACCACGTTTTTGTAATAATACCCAACTGGAAACAACTCAAATGTTTATCAACCGGTAAATGGACAAATAAACTGTGGGCAGTACCTTCATATACTGGAACATTACTAAGCAATAAAAAGTGATTAACTACTAGTACATACAACCACCAACAACATGGATGAATTTCAAAATATTTATACCGAGTGAAAGAAGCCAGATGAAAATTCATGCAAACTGTATTACTCCATTTATATAAAATTTTTGAAAAGTTATGCCAATCTACAGCTATAGAGATTAGACCAGTAGTTGCCAGAAGACAGGGAAAAAGTGGTGGGGAGGAATCATAATTGCTAAGTCTTACTTTTAGGGGTTATATTTCCGTTTACTCTGTGTTAACTCTGAGTATATGCATATGTTGAAACTTAATCGGACACGCTAAACATGTGCAGTTTGTAGGATGCCAAGTCACTCTAATTTGTTTTAGCTCTTAAATTTAAAAAACTATATTAAGGAGTAAAAAATTATAAGACTTTAAAAAACAAATCTGTAAGTTTGACTGTGCACAGGGAATCATTTAGTCTTTCATGGGTTTAGTTGGGAAAAATGACTTCCTGATCTTAGTGCCTTAAGGAAAAACAAGACTTCAGTGCCACATGAAAAGCACATCAGCAATCACTAGTTTCAAATATTTCACAATTTAAAGAAAAACCCCACATGTGTGTAAACACAAGGTCTCACTCATGTACAAACCAGCACAGCTTAAGAGGAAGATGCTATCAACTAGATCAGTTGGCCGTATGAAAACTGATTTTGATAAAAATATATGAATACTTTTTTACTGTTATTTGAGTGCTCTGCCATTCAAATAAAGAGAGAGAGAAAGAGAAAAGAGAGATGATTTAGCAACTTTTTTTGTTTGTATTTCCTTTGTCTTAGGTGACGTCCATATATTTTAGAGACAAGGCATGATGATCTTTTGCCTTCTCAGCTGCTACTGTCCTTAATTATTGAATCAAACACTAATCTTGGCGCTGCTGTAAAGATACTTAGTAAATGCAATTAAAGTCTAAAATCAGCCCACTTTATGTTAGAGAGAATAACCTAGATAACCTGGATTGCACTGATTTCGCTGGAAGCCACCAGAGCAACATGGAGTCTTCTCTGAAGAGTAGACTTCAGCTATGGACAGCAGCTTCCTCTCTTGGTCGGGGAGTTTCAGCCCATCCCTCTCAATGGCCTGGATTTGGAATTTACCTAGCCAGCCTCCCACAATTGGACAAGCCAGGTTTTTTTTGCAATGCATTTCTTTTCTTTTTTTTATTTCATCATATTATGGAGGTACAAATATTGTTAGGGTTACAAATATTGCCCCTGCCCCTCCTCCCTCCCCCCAATGTGTCCAATCCCCGGGTGGTGTGCACCACACATGTTATGGAAGCATAAACCCCATTCCTCCTCCCCCCTGCCGCCTGCCCACCACCCGATAAAAAGTTTTGTGGGTTTTTCTTGACATTTTGGTTACATTGTATATCTTTGCCTCTCCCTAAGAAGCTAAGAAGGGTTAGAGTTATGCCCTTCCCTTCCAAAATACTCGCCACCTCCCTAAGATTGGGTCCCCCTCTCCCGAATCCCTGGTGAGCATTGCCACCATTTGAAAACCATAGTTTTAATCAGTCAGTACCAATTTGATGGCGAGTAGATGTGGAGCCCATTTTCCATGTCTTGTGTCGCCTCACTTTAGATAACGGGCTTAAGCTTAATCCAGGATAACATAAACAGTGCTAGCTCACCGTCATTTCTTAGGATTGAGTAATATTCCATTGTGAGGATATACCACATTTTAATTATCCACTCATGAATTGATGGGCACTTGGGTTGTTTCCATGACTATGCAATAGTGAATTGTGCTGCTATAAACATTTGGGTGCAGATGTCTTTATAATAGAATGTCTTATGCCCTTTTGGGTAGATGCCCAACAATGCTATTGCAGGGTCGAATGGTATTTCTATTTCTAGCTGTTTGATGTATCTCCAAATTCTTTTCCACAAAGGTTGCACTAATTTGCAGTCCCACCAGCAGTGTAGGAGTGTTCCTACCTATCCGCATCCTCACCAGCATTTGTTGTTTCGGGTTTTCTTGATATAGGCCATTCTTACTGGGGTTAGGTGGTATCTCATTGTGGTTTTGATTTGCATTCCTCTAATAATTAGAAAAGTTAAGCATTTCTTTATATGTTTGCATGTCATTATTCTGTCTTCTTTGGAGAAGTTTCTTTTCATTTCTGTCGCCCATTTCTTGATGGGATTGTTTGCTTTTTTCTTGTTAATTCTTTTAAGTTCTAGATAGATTCTTGTTATTAGACCTTTATCAGAGGTGTAGAGAGCAAATATTTTCTCCACTCTGTGGGTTGTCTATTTGCTCTACTGATGGTTTCCTTGGCTGTGCAGAAACTTTTTAATTTGATCAGATCCCATTTGTTTATTTTTGAGGCTGCAGTGATTGCCTTGGGGGTCTTCATCAAAAATTATTTGCCTAGGCCAGTGTCTGATAGGGTTTTCTCAACATCTTCTTCTAGGATTCTTAAAGTTTCATGCCTTAAGTTTAAGTCTGTTATTAATGTATATCGCCTACTGATTCTGCTTCTGTGGTTGAACCCTAATGGATACATATAGAACACCCATAAATAAATTAATTCATCTGAGGCTCAGCTTTTCCTGACCTGCCCATCTCACCATTCTCTGCAGGCAGAAGCACTGGCTCCCTTTTATGCTTCTGTGCATGCCCTGCACATATCCACGTGATAGCAGTTGTTGGTTCTCAGATCCTTCTCCTCTATTGGATTGTGAGCTTTTTAGTGTTATCCATCCTTACTCTGTCAGGACGTAACAAATTATTGTTGAAAATCTGTTGATAAATTAACAAACTAAGCAAATTTATGTATCCAGTAAGTGACTCACCATGTTTGTGCAATGTCATCTTCTCCCGCAGGATTTGGTCATTTCATTTTGGATTTGTATATAAGCTCCAACTTTATTGGTCTTTCCCATTTGTGACAATCACAATCTAAATTTTAAAAGATCACTTGAAATTTAAAATATTTATGCTACCAGGCTATGGTTACTTAATAGTTATGAGTTAAAGCACATAGCATTTTCCAAACACCTGCGTTAGTTAGCATTCATTCCAAACACACACACACGATACAACCCATTGCCAAGGACTTGCTGCAACATAAATTTTCAAACATTCCTGTACTGATTCCAGGTCACTATGTAATTTTTACTTTGCTAATGGTAAACTTTGTCTTTGAACTTTGCCACAACAATGCAATCTGAAGTTTTCAAAAACATTTGAACAGCAGTTGTGAAAACTGGGAACAGCCCAGAGGTGATTTGTACTGTCCAATACACATGCTCCTTATTGGATTTTTTATTTAACCTTTTGGAGATGGCAAATGAGACATAGTAGAGCAACAACATTCGAGCTGAACAGCCCCTTTTGATGGCTGGAATTATGACTGTTCCTCAGTAAATATTTGTGCTTTTTAGTCCAATCACAGTTGAAATATTCCAGCTTATTTATTGATTTAAACTAGAATAGCTTTCACATAAGGAGAACCTTCCTTGTCAATTGATATCTAGAAAATACTAAAAGGAAATTTTATTTGTAATGAATTTGCCTGTATGTGTCTGTTCTTATGAACTAATAATCAAGAATATATGAGTCTGTACTGTTGACCTGCATGGCATTAAAAAACAAAACAGTAACAATGTATATCTTTGGTATTTTATTTCCATTTTATCTTGCACTTGGGCCCAATGCTTCTGTGTGTGTGTGTGTGTGTGTGTGTGTGTGTGTTATTGTTGTGATGGTTGCTGAATTGAGACCCTTTCACAAATTCTCTGAAGTAAGCAGATAGCCACATGGAAATCAATGAGAATTTTCTCCGTTCTATATTGAAAAGTAAAAATCCAGCACAGTGTATTTCTTACAGAGCTTATCTAAGAAAAGTTGGTCGAATCTCTCTTTGTCATCAGTGTCACGTCTGAAAATCTCTACATTACTGTAATTGCCTTAACAGCTCTTGACATCAGAAATACCCAAAGAGCAGTAAGCACTGAGTTTCTTAAAAGGACATCCACACAGATTGTGTGACTTTTTATCATCGCATTTTGTTCTATGGTCTTTCAAAAATAATTTACAATTTCATTTATTTAAACTCATCCTGACACATCTTTAGAAAATACTATCATTTTCACTTATTCCTGCCATAGTGATGACAATTGTTCCATGGAGATTTACCTGGTGCCTAAGATTTGTTTATTTTTCATCTATGAAAGTCTACAAATAACTCAAGTTAAGGGGTTTTTTTTTTTGTATGACCATCGAAATTTATTTTTATTAACACCAGGAAATGACTCATAAAGAGCTACAGTTTAAGGTTGATGATATTATAATATAAATTATTAAGTTTCCATCTTCCTGAGTGCTGAGTAATTGCTGGATAATTACACACTTAAGTATCCCAATATATGTGTTCTGATTCAAGAGGCAGAAATATGAAATTCTTATTATTACTTTAAAGGGTGTACATTGACAGCTAGTCAGTGTTTAAACAGATCAGACTTAAAAATATCCAAGTACCACGCTAGCCAATCAACCAAGAATTAAGGACAATGGGTCAGGTGCAGTGGCTCATGCCTGTAATCCCAGCAGTCTGGGAGGCCAAGATGGGAGGATCGGTTGAAGTCAGGAGTTTGAGACCAGCCTGAGCAAGAGCAAAATCCTGTCTCTACAAAAAATAGAAAAAATTAGCTGGGCAACTAAAAATAGAAAAAAAATTTAGCCAATCATGATGGTGCACTCCTGTAGTCCCAGCTCCTTGGGAGGCTGAGGCAGGAGGATCGCTTGAGCCCAGCAGTTTGAGGTTGCTGTGAGCTAGGCTGACACCATGGCACTCCAGCCCGAGGAACACAGTGACACTCTGTCTCAAAAACAAAAACAAAAACAAAAAAAACCAAAAAAAACAACAAAGAATTCAGGACAAGTAGTCATCATCACTGAACTAAAGAAAGAATGGTAAAATCTCTGTCTTCTGGCTTTAGAAGTTCAAGTGAAAAAGCCATATATCAAAAGTCTAAGAAATATTAAATATTTCCATGTCAAAGAAAGACTGTGGAGCACAGAGTAAATTGACTTGATACTGAATTCCTATCTGTAACCTTCTATTTAAATAGATCTCACTGTGATAGCAATGACAACAAATATCAACAATTTGTCCTTTCTTATATCATCTCTTTTTATATATGTATTTTTTTCTTCTTTCGTCTTTCTCCCCTCTGCCCAAGCGATCCTACAGCTTACGTGCACTTTCCCTCAGCTCTTTAGCACACAGTCGTGGTGATAAACACATACTGAGTATCTCCAGTGGACGTAACACTTAACTGGAGGCTGCAAATATGAGACTCAAAAGAGAAAAGCTTTCACCCTTGACTCCTAGGAACTTAGCTTATAACTAAAGATTCCAGATAAAGATCATTAATAAAAACTGAAGCAACAGGATCCATTCCAAACTCAGATCAGCTTCCTGCTAGCAGTAGCCTGCTGGTCAAAATAGCAATACCATGGTAGACAAATAATTTTAAGAACTCTGCAGTGGGAAGAGAAAGTGTCCTGCTCCTTTATATGTTGTCATTCTCCTGCCCTCATTACATAACAGGCACTGACCTGGATTCTGTAAAATATGCCAAAAAGAAAAGCCTTTGCAAGCTTCCCAATCACTTGCTTCATGTCCATTAGCCCTAAGTTTCTAGCCACATCATAATTCCCTAGTGATTACATATCACAACAAGTATTTCTATGGGCCAATGATGAACAGTATATTGGACACATAGAAGATGCATAATAGAAAATCCATATAAAGGATTTTCTATACTGAATGAAATTCAAGTAAGGATGCTCTATGCCAGCCTTTTCACTTGCCCTAAATTTGGCACATTCACCTCTGCAGAAAAATATGTGCATACATCACACACACACACACACGTGCGCGTGCATGTGCACGCACACACACACACATCCCACATCCACAGATGTATGCAAAAATAAATTGCATATATTTGAAGAAAGTGATGGGGTTTGGTGTTTATAATGTGGATCATATATAATTCAGGGGAGAAGGGCCCATTGAAAATGTGAGTTGTAAGCAATAGTTTAAAATGATGGAGTGACCACAGACTTCCAGAGAGGATGAGGGACACGGTTCCAGGTACTTCTTCTTCATTTCCTTCCTTATCAGTAGAGTTTTTCAATCAACCTAATCTAGCAGAACATTTCTCCTAGGCTACTGAGATATATTTGCAGGAAACAACTTTCCCTTCACCGAAAGAAATAGGTTTAACTCCTTCATTCCTAGAATTCTATAATTCAGGGGAAAAGTGAGTTTTCCATAAGGTACTTAAGGGAGGAAAGAGATGAATCTATGTGGAAAATTAGGTGAAGGAGTGGAAAATTGCATCTACCCTATAAGTCTGACAACGTATAGATATATTCCTCCATGAAAAAAATGGAAATCTCATTTTAAAATGGTACTTGCATAGTCAGCAGCAGTCCCTAACAATGTCTTTCTTGCTGCTGACATCAGATTTTTTTCACCCCAATAATAAGGGATAATTTGGACCCATTTTCCTTTTTCGTTTAATTCTGTCCAGTTCTTATTGCATTTCCCCCACTTTTTTTTCCCACGCGAGAGATGATTGTATTACTTGTGGAAATATGATGAATCACTTCAACAAGAAATATGTGGCATCTGGTTAAGGTTCCTTCTAGCATATAAATTAAGCTTGAATGACAGCTAGGTCAAAATTTTCCTTTGAAACAGGTCCCCGTGTGGCAGGTAAAATCAAGTATTCTCACTTTATCGGCAGGAGATGTTTCCAGGCTCGCTCATGTCTCTAACCTTTATTAGAGAGAAGTGGGTCATTTTGCCACCCCCTGAAAATAATTGATGAGATGAAAAGAGAGATTTGGGAGAGGTAAATGGAAAGATGTACATAATAACCCTGCTGAGATGATGGATGCTATCAGAAAAATAGAGTACTGGTAACACTAAATGATCCTACAAAAAAATACTTATACTATCTAAAGAAAGCTGCAATAAATAAATAAAATATAGCCATTCAATCAATTTGAGACATACTGGTAAGTATTTCCCCATTAAATAAAAATTCCCCAGTAAAAAAAGAAGAGACTAAAGATATTTTCCATCTCTAATTTGTGTGATAATTTTTTTTTCTGAGCTAGAAGCTTTTCTTTTTCCTTTTTGTTTTTCCTTAAATCTGACTCATGGAAAAGGGAGAATCTAAATGATCAAGATTTAACTTTCTGAAATCCCTTCACTTCATATACTGCATGATTTTTAAACATTTCGTTTGTGGCAGTAACAATTACTCCTCTGTCAGGAAATTCAATTTATTTCGTATAGAAGCCAGCAAAGGCACAAAAACATTAAACAAGGGAAGATTCTCCAACATTCCACATGATGGCAGAAGATCTTTTCCTTATTAAGTAGTCAAAGCTTACAGGTTTGTATTATTCTATTAAATATAGCAAGATAAGCAATCTCCCATATTCTCTAAGCCATTTTAGAGTAATTTGTTCTCAGAACATACTAGAAGGAACGATGTGTTTTCCTGTGTGAAAAACAAACAACCTGAAAAAAAAAAAGTCCAAACTATTTTCCTCAAGTTTTCCTAAGTAATGTTGGGATTATGAAAAGTGCCTTTCAAAATCACACTTAAAATGAGATATTTTAGACCACATTTCCCAAATGTCAACGATCATTGTTGGCTGTTTATTGTTGTTAATCACAGCAAACAAATCTTGTGAATGCACTTATAGAACAGGCTGCTTAGTAAAATCCCCCTTGTAGACGGAAAGCATCTTTGAGAACATTTTTTTCAGAGAATTTTTCTCTGACTTGCAACGTGGCTACCATCCAGGCAGAACCTCAAGAAAACAATGGATCCCTTGCTCCAAAACGAGACTTCTAGGCACAACTAATC